GCTACTTCTTGTGCAGAAACTTCATCTTATTTCCTAGAGAAAGAACAAGGAGACGCTTAACAGAGGACCCATTCCAACAGCGCCTCCCCCCCCCACCCCCGAGACACCCGGAACTCAGGCCTGCCCCAGGGGAGACCTCTGCCCACCCACCACCTCACAGGAAGGGGTCTCCTGCAGATGTGGGGGCCTGGCAGAAAGAGTGCCCATATGTTGGGGGAGAGTTTGCTTCTGAAATGCACCACAAGGCGTGCCAGCCTGGCTGTCCCACCCCCATCCCTGTCTTCCTTCCTCAGCCCAGTCCCTATTACCTTGCCATCCCCACTTGCAGGAGGGTTTGGAGGCCAGCCCAGCCTCCCTTGTTCACTGGCCTTGATTCCCAAACACTGCCCCCACCACCACCACCCCGGGAGATGAGAGGCAATAGGGACAGGAGGTGGACACACTCCATTCAGCCTGAGGTAGCTCCCCACAACCCCCTCCTTCCAACGTTAGCATAGCTTCAGCCAGGCCAGACTGCGCCGGCACCGACCTGCCGTACCTAGTCCCTTCAGGAAGCGGTTGACACCGCTGTGCTCGCCACTGGGGAGGGTCTCCAGGTACTCCTGGGCTCGGACCTCAAACAGACCTGTGGGTGAGAGGACCCTACCGTGAGCTGCCTTCTCTCTGGACAGACATTGTCTCCTTGCGCTCCCATAAGCCCATGGTTACTATGGGGTCTTATGAGTTTCATAATTGCCCAGTCTTGGGTGGCCCTGGCTCTGGTGGGATTGTGGAGCCAGTCCACCCACCCATATGCAGGAGGCTCCTGGACGTGACCTGGGAACTGGGGACTTGGCAGAATCAGCTCTTGTGCAGGGACAGAGGGGCCCTTCTGTCATATCTCCATTTTCCCACGCGCCTCCCAATGCAAACCCAATCCACCCTCCTCTCGGTGAACAGATGTGGATTGGGTGTGCTTCAGCTGAGGTTCAGAAACTGATCGGGCCTTTCTTCCTCATCCACCTTCAGTCTCCAAGTTGGGCACACAAGTCTCCCCACAGGTGGGCGGTGGCTGAGTCGGGAACCCAGCCCCTCTCCTGCCCACTAGACAAGGATTCTGCTGTTGGCCACCAATGGTCCTGTCAAGGGCCAGCCGCTTGCCGTGGATGCCGACGCCGGGCAGCCACTCGGACCTTCAGAACCGCCGGAAGGCTTGGGCGTCTCACTCAGACCTGGTGCCCCTGGCACATCCCGCGTCCTGACTGACCCCCTGGCGCGGGCACCCAGACCAGTGCCGGCGTCAGGCTCACTCCGAGGTCGGGAGTTGATACGACAGTCTGGCTTCTTTCCCCACCAGCTCAAGTGGGGGTCGAGCTTCCCTAAGGGTCCACTTGCCTAGTGGCCCTCACCCTTGGGGGCACTCATCCCCGGGGAGCGACCCCCTGCTCCGGGGAAGCACACCAGGCTGGGTGCCCGGATGCACTCCACCCTTGCGCCCCCACCCCGAGCGCCCCGGCCCCCACCCTTGGCGTCCTGCCGGCGCAGCGCGCGCTCCTGGACGAAGTCGCGGAAGGTCTGCGTCTCCATGAAGACCTCCAGGAAGCGGCGCAGGCTCCGCGAAGACACGGCCTTGCGGAAGGCCTCCCGCTGCAGCGTCCGCTCCTCGCGCTCGCCCGGCGTCAGGAACAGCGAGTAGTGGCCCACGATCTCCACGAAGAAGCGCACGAAGGCCTCCGACACCACGGCGTTCAGGGGGCTGGACTCCGGGCCTGAGGGGCGGGGCGGAGGTGAGGGGCGGGGCCTGGCGGCGAGGGCGGAGCCGAGGGACGGGCCAGGCCGCCCGGGAGGGCGGGGCATGAGAAAGATGGAGCAGAAGGGGCGTGTTGTGGGAGGGGCCAGGCCACAGAGGAGGGCAGTTAGGGTGGGCCCTGAACAGCCTAGCCAGGAGAGGGCGGGGTCGGGGCTGTAAGGGTGGGGCCGGGCCATGGGTGTGGGGCTGTGTGGGCGGGCAGGAGGGTGAAGGCGAGGTGTGGGAGGTAAGAGGGCTGGGCGGGGCAGGATTGGGAATAGGGTGGGGCAGGGCGGGGCTGGATGGCAGTGAGGGCGGGGTCTGGGAGATGAAGGCGGGGCCTTATGGCAGTGAAGTGGGGCCAGCTTTCCTCCGGGGCTGGGCCCTTGCGACCACTGGTTCAGGGGAATGCATGTTATTACCCTCATGATCCACAGTCCTTACGGGGGATAAGGGCCACCCTGCTCTGAAGCATCCTTTCCCCCTTAAACAAGCACCCTAGGGTCAACGAGGGGCATGGAAACCCCCCAGAGTCCACCACCAGGTGCAAGGACCCATGGAGGGCGAGGTGCGGCAGGTGGCTCTGGGACGCACTCACCGGGTCTGCAGTCCACGGGCCCCTCCTCCGGATCTCGGGCCAGCTCCTCCCGCTGCTCCAGCACCTGCTCCAGGGCGGCCTGCAGCTTGCGGGGCAGGATCGAGTCCTCGTCGTCCATCTGGGAAGCAGAGGGCAGGCTGCAGCCCGGCACCTGTGCGAGGTGCTCCGCTCTTCCTGGGGACTCGGGACCCTCCCACCGCCCCACCTGCAGGGCTTGGCCAGGGGCTGGGTGAGGCTTGGGGTGAACTGGGTCCTGGGAGAGGGGGTGACAGCAGGAGGATGGGGCTAGCACCCGGACTGCTGAGCTGCCTGCACCTGCTGCAGCTCTGAGTTCACGTGAGACCCCTGCGGCAGTTCTTTGAAGACCTTTCTGGCCAATGATGGAAAGAACTGTGCTTTGTGTTCTCCTAGTCATTCAGGATTATGGGAGGAAGTCCCGTGGTGGGGATAGGGGTGAAACCACTCTTCTCACCAAGACAAGCGGCTTCAACATGTCTGATGTGTTTTTCCTTGTTAAGATGCCTAGGAGCCTGCCCTCTGAGCTACTAACCACCAGCCCCTTCCTCGGGAGAAAGAGGAGGCTTTCTGTGCCCCTAGCCGAGAGTTACGGCCTCAGAAACCTGCAGGGGCAGGTCTGCCCTGTCCTGTAGGGCTGCTGGGAGTTGGAATTGACTTGATGACAGTGAGTTTGGGTTTTTTGGTTTATGTACAGAAGTCCTGGCGGTGCTGCAGGGTAGGGTCGGCAGTTCAAGCCCACCAGCCACTCCTCAGGAGACAGACGAGGCTGTCTGCTTCTATAAATATTTACAGTCTTGGAAACCCTATGAATTGGAATCATCCCAATGGCAGTGGATTTGGTTTTTGGCATATATATATATATCCTTTGAAAAACAAAACAAAAACAGAAATAACAGATCAGCAAAGTAATTTTGAATCTTGATCTGTTCCATGTAACACGGTATCATGAACTGTTCCCTCTGACATTAAGTTTTTTTACCCAATGATGCAACTTTCCCCAATTTTATACAGATGAAGAGCTTCAAAAGCTCATGAAAAAATCCCGTGATCTTTTAATCCCCAGTATCCATGAAAGTTTGGAAGGTTCCTCATCTGTTTAGTTTCTATCTACTTAAGAAACAAACAACAAAATGCGCTGCCATTGAACGGATGCTGGCTCACAGTGGCCCTACAGGACAGGGTAGAACTGCCCCTGTGGGTCTGAAACTGTCACTTCACGGGAGTAGAAAGCCCCATCTTTCTCCCACAGAGCCGCTGGTGGTTTCGAACTGCTGACCTTGGATTTAGCAGCCAACTGGTAACCACTACACCCCCAGGGACCCCTCTTCTGTACTTAGTAAAGCTGAATATTATCCTACCAGAGTGACAGAGAGACCCGCTGCTGCCGAGCCCATTCCAACCCATGGTGAGCTGACTTAGGGTTTCTGAGGCTGCAAATCTTTTTAAAAATCAGCTTTATTGACATGCACTTCACATGCCATATGATCCAACGGTTTAAACACATTAAAAAGTTGTGCAGGCACCACCACAATCAATTTTCAGAACATTTCCTTCATCCTTGTACCCTTCATTATTAGCTCCCCCTTCCCCCAACCTCTCCTGCCATAGCCTTAAGAGACTACTCATTTAGTTGCTGTGTCTCTAGATTTACCTGTCTTGAACTTAAAGAAAATCACACAAAAGACCACAACCCCCAAATAAAAGCCAGAAACGCCTAAAAACACGGGGCCCTTCACAAAGGAGTGAGTCATCCACCCGTGGGGGCCACACTCATCTCCTCTTATTGTCCCATTCTCGGTGTATGTGCTGCCAAGGTGGGCTCCGAGGCTGTGAATCTTTACGAAGCAGACAGCCTCATCTTTCTCCCATGGAGTGACTGGTGGGTGTGAACCGCTGACCTTAACCCACAGCACCAAAGCACTTGCCAGTCGGTACAGCAAAGTTATCCCGTGATACTGGACAACCTGATAGAGCATGATTTTGAGAACAATTTTGTAACTTTCAAATACTGTGGGAAGCATGTTGAACAAGACAAGCGCCTGGCGTTCCAGCATATGTGGGGATTCTAATCACTGGCAGTGCACTCTGGGACAGACCTGTGGACATCTAAGCCTGACCTGGCCTCCCCTACACCCTGCCTGCCTAGGAGGGACTGAGGGAGCTGTCCGACTCACCTGCCTGAGGAACCGGTTGTTGTCCAGGTCGACCACAAGGACCTACAGGACAAGAGGGAAAGGGACCTATGTGCCTGTGACAGTGGCCTTGGGGACAGAGGTGGCCTCCCACTGCCCTCCTCCCAGCAGGCAGAGATGCAGCTGGGTTGCATTTCTGTCTGGTGTAGTGGTTACACACTGGGGTCCGAGCCACCATGATCGGCAGTTGGAAAACAGCAGCGGGTCTTGGTAGAAAGACTGGGCTTTGTACCCCCATCATCAGTTATAGTGTTGGCAACCCACAGAGGCACCGTGAGTCACACTGACTCCATGGTGAGGGACCCACAGGGGACGCTGTGAGTCGCACTGACTGATGGAGGTGAGCAGACCCACAGGGGGCTCCCAGCTCCTGTGTCCCCATCATTCCTCCCTCCCAGTGGACTCAGGGGCACAGGGGGCGGGGCCAGGCTGAACAGGGAGCTCAGGGTAAGGAAGGCCGGCCGGGCGCTGGGTGGGCAGGTGAGGCCCCAACCCTGCTCAGCTGACTGCAGAGCAACCCCTGAGGGCATGGCCTGTGGCCCCGACATGACTCCTGCCTCCTCAAACAGGCCTTACAGGGACCCCAGTACCAGACAAGTTCCTCATGATTCCAGACCTCAGGAGATGGTCTGAGGCCAAGTGGAGTGGCCCAGGGTGTCAGGTGTGACATCAGCAGCATCGGGGACCTGAGGGATGGGGCTCCAGGCTGGCTGGGCCACACTGCCCCACACTGCTTCTCTGAGCCCAGGCTAAGTAACCACGGGATGTTCTGGAAGGATCCAGGACTTGACAAGCGTTCGGGTGGCTGTTTTCCCCTGAGATCAGCAGGGCCGTGAGCAGCCCTGGGCACCCCCACCCCTGTCTCCAGGGGGTGCTGGTGTCCCAGACAGCAAAGTGCTGCCCGCCTGCCAGCCCCCAGCCCCCGAGGCCTGCCCCTCCAGGAGTCCTCACCTCCTCCAGCGGCAGCTCCTGGAGCAGGGGCAGCGTGCCCGAGAGCAGCCCGATGAGGAAGGGCGTGGGCGAGCATACGATGTCGATCATGGCAGGCGGCAGCACGGGCACGAAGGTGTGCTGCCAGCTGAAGGGGTAGGTGAGCGCCACCACGGCGTGGCAGCACGTGGACAGGGTGCTGCGGACAGAGGGGGCGTCAGCTGGTGGAGCAGGCCGAGGTCCACCCGCCCGGTTTCGGGGCCTGCTGGGGGAGTGTTCAGGCTCAGAGGCCTAGAGAGGGGTCTCCTGTGTGAGGCAGACGTCACCCCTCAGTGCCCAGCGTAACAGCCAAAACCAAGCCGGCACCATCCAGGCGGTTCTGACTCGGCGTGACCCTGAGTGGTAGAAGGCGGGCAGCCCGCCACCCAGGATTCTGCCAATGACTCCTCCCCCAGGGCTCCCTGGGCTGAGGGCCGCCTGTGGGCTTTCTGCTCCCTGCAGAGTGGCATGCAGGGCAGTCCAGGGGTGCGGGGGTGGGGGTGGGGGGTGGTCTTCTCAAGGGAGTGCAGTTCAAGGCTCAGGAGCAAGTGTGGGTTGGAGGGGCCTCCTGTGCTCCTTTCAGGGGCCCAAGGAAAGTGCACCCTTGGCCTAGCTCGCATCACAGAGCAGGGGACGGGGACCAGGTGAGTGCCCACTTTGTGCAAGTGTGTGTGTGTGCATGTGTATGTGTATGTGTGCAGGGTGAGCCCCGCCTGCTTCTGAGCCCTGGCCACCCTTGGGTTTGCTGACTAAGCTGTTCCCCACTCCCCCAAGTCACCCCCGGAAGGTCATGGAGAGCTTCTCAGAGCTGTCAACAAGCCCTGCATCCCCCCTCACCCCACCCCACTGCCCCTCTGTGGACTACCAGGTCCTCATGTGCCCCGTGCCCATCGGCCCAAGGACAGGGATGGGAACCCCTGGTCTGGTGGCAGGTGAGCCCCAGTGGGAGGGGGCATCACCAAGCTGATGGCCAACACAGGCTGGGCCTCCAGGATGTGGCCTTAACTCGACGCCCCATGCTTCTCAGGGCCTCCAAGGCCTCGTCTGCAAAGTCCTCTTGTCTGCGGGTCAGGGACACAGGAGGCCAGGGGCACTGCCCTCTGAGAGACAGGTGGACGAGCATCTGAGAGGCTCCCACTGCCGGAGTCCGGAGGGCGATGGCAGCACTCAGCAGCAGAGCCTGGAGGGACGAGGCTGCAGAGGCCAGCGGTGGTTTTGGAGCGGGGGCCGCCTGGGCTCTGTCTCTCTAACTTGCTTCCTTCTGTTGCTGCAGCCCACCCTGGATCTGCCTGCGCGCTCTAACGGGGCCTTTTCAGCAGGGCTTTTCTGGATCGAGTGGAGGAGGGGCTTCAAAAAGCTTGTGGGCAAATGGATGAGACGATCACGGGTCTCCCGCCGGCGTTTTGAAGGCCTCTCCCTCACCATTATGTCAAAGACTTGGTTCCGGACGCCGAGACCCACCAGGCCTCTAAGGGGAACTTCAGCCACTTGCTTCAAGGTGGCTTTAGGCAAACTCGCGTCAAGAGAGCCTGCTCACAAACCTAGCCTTTTCCTAAGACGGCAGGTAGATTCTCGAGACAGTCTAGATCCTGCCTCGGCGCTGCCAGAACTGCTTACCAATGAATGGCCCAGAAGCACCTTCCATATGGCCCTGCGTGTGCAGCAGCTACGGTTCGTGGGCAGTGCCTGTCGGTCCGCCCTGGGTCGTCACGGCATGTCCTGTACTGTGGTCTCACCGAGATGGGGTGAGGGAGGGAGATCAAGGGGCCGTTCTCCCCTGCTAAGCAGAGAGCCGTGTGGGGATGGGCCCCATGAAAGGGGTGATGGTTCAGGGCCCAGTGTGGACAGGGGTCCCTTCCAGGCCAGACAAGAGCAGCCCCCAGCTGAACCCCTAACCCTCGGTAGTCTGATTCCACTGCCCGGCCAAAGAACCCGCTTTCCCACAAACTGCTCCGAACTCGGTGGACACACATTCTGTCCTGGGGAATGACCTCTTCGTGGAGCAGCTGGTGCAGAAGAAAAGTTCATGGGTGTTTACACCACACGCACACTCACACCTCACACATGCTCACAACCACACCTATACTCACCACTCTGACCATACACACACATACACACACACACTCACACACACACTCACACTCATACCCCACACCCTCACTCACCCCACATACCCTCAAACACACATCACACGCGCACACATACCACACACACCAGTCTTGTCACACGCATGTCATACGGGTGACCCTGTAGTCATATCACATATACATCTTAAACAAACAGTTCACTCACACAAACCGGTATGCACACTGGGCTGAAGTGAACTCTCTCAACAGGACGCTTCTACCCATGCCGCTGTCACTCCCACCAAATGATGGGTGGGGCTATGCACACAGTGTGGGAAACGCTACTGGAGGGGACTGGTCAATTGAGCCATCCCAGAAGCAGGAAGAGAGAGCGCCCTGGGATCACGAGGAAGACCAGACACCAGCAGCGCGGGCTCAAGATCCCTGCCTGAAGTGGTGGAGGGAGCAGAAGCCAGGCGACGCTGAGCCCAGAGGCCGAGACAAGGAGACCGTGAGACAGAGCAGAGAGAGAAGCGGGGCTGAGACTCAAGACTGAGGCAGAGCAGCGGGCTGGCTTCCTGGCCCCCAGACAGAGGAGGGGACAAGGGGCCACCCGGCTAAGAGGCTGAGGACCAGAGAGGGACGTGGCTGCTGGCGGAGGAGACCAGTGACCACCCCGAGTGTTTTCTAACCCTGGCCGTGGTAACCTGCTACCTCCCCAGAACCCCAGGGTGGTACTGTCTGTGAGTTCCCTGTGGCAACTGCAACGGATGACCCGGCCAGCAGCGGAGGACCGTGGGAGGGAGGGCTGGCGTCAAACAGCAGGGACATATGGGGGCTGGAGGCATGTCTGCCGTCCGCCTGTGGCCGCTGGCCGAGGGCTGCGGTGGAGATGGCGTCTCCTCCTCCCTGGTGTGGGAGGTCGGGTCCGGCCTCCATGTTCTTTACGCCACACACTCTCTCTTCTCACACACACTCACTCTACACACTTACCCACATCCCCTCACACCACACACACTCTCTTCTCACACACACTCACTCTACACACTTACCCACATCTCCTCACACCACACACTCTCTCTTCTCACACACACTCACTCTACACACTTACCCACATCTCCTCACACCACACACTCTCTCTTCTCACATGCTCACTCTACACACTTACCCACATCCCCTCACACCACACACTCTCTCTTCTCACACGCTCACTCTACACACCCACATCCCCTCACACCACACACACTCTCTTCTCATACACGCTCACTCTACACACTCTTACCCACATCCCTCACACCACACACTCTCTCTTCTCACACATGCTCACTCTACACACTCTTACCCACATCCCCTCACACCACACTCTCTCTTCTCACACACGCTCACTCTACACACTCTTACCCACATCCCCTCACACCACACACACTCTCTTCTCACACACGCTCACTCTACACACTCTTACCCACATCCCCTCACACCACACACACTCTCGTGCATATTCACACACCACACACGCCTGTATAGTCACTGCCTTCATATCACACACACACTCATACGTGTTCACACAGTACACACCAC